CCCCAAAACCCCAAAACCCCAAAACCCCAAAACCCCGCTTTTTAATTTTGTAATTGAAATATTTTTAACCAATTTAGTATTCAGAGTGTGCAGATAGGAGTAGAACATCAGAAAATGAGGATTAATTTAAAAGTGTATATAGCATTCATCCAAAATTTTGGTATGATCCTACTCAAACTCTGCATGATTTGTCAATTTGGAGACAAAGTTTTTCAAATTTTGCCTGAAGCGCTTGCTAGTATCATGATCTACCCAACCCCTTTCAGGGAGTTCATGGAGTCTTCATTAAGCGCATCTTGGCCTAAAATGTTAGTTTGGTTGAGATGCATTGAACCATCAAGTAGTTTGGTGTTCTAAGATTAATTGGGTGTAGCCGTTTAGGAGATTATATCTGCCAACATCTTGGTGGGATGGATCCATAAAATCAATAGCTCCATCTTTACCATAAACTAAGTCGTCTTTCTGCACTTCTCCAAATTGAACAGCAACATAAAGAACATCGGAAGGATTTTTGACTTCAAGACCTTGTCTAAAATATTTATGAACAGTATTTGGTCCTGCTTCAACTAAAATTATTTGGCATTCAAGCTCACTATGAAGATAGTTAGTAATATGATGAGCTTCATTTTCCTTCAAGAAGACTGCTTTCTCATCTTTCGGCTCTTCTTCACTCACAAATAATGTCCAATTATAGTATTGATTCAATTCTTCTTTCTCAGAAAAATATCTATCAATCACTTCTCTTGTAGTGGATGATCTTGTCCTTATTCCTATCTCTTTCTTCCCATCCCATAAGTAAGCATGGGTTCCATCTTCAAGCTTGACATCGAATTCATAGTTTTCAAACCTGACTGGGTAAGGACTTCCTACTCTCATGTTAGCACCACTTGTGACAATGCCATCACTCAACATCCTCATAAAATTAAACCCCCAGAAATCTTCAAAGTTGTGTGGAGCAGATGGGTTTTCAACCTTTATAACCCTGAGCCCTTTCATATCTTGCTTAGATTTAGCCGACATTGCTACAGAATAGGACATGAGAGGTCCATCTCCCGTATATCACTTAGGGTACAAAAGATTATCAAGTCCTCCAAAAATCTTCTTGATCCTGCTATGACTTTTCCTTGTTAAGGCTTTTCACAGATTCTCCATACTTACTGCCTATGATATATTTTCAATTTTTATTGACTAAAAGGGGTTTTGGGGTTTTGGGGTTTTGGGGTTTTGGGGTTTTGGGG